CTCCAGTCTGGGCGACCGAGTGAGACTCCAACTCAAAAAAAAAAAAAGAAAAGAAAAAAACTTTCAGTAAAAGAGGAGATAATCTGATTCTAAGAAGCAATAAATAATGATTTGAAAACTGCCAATTAAATGGGCCATTCTCTGCATTCTCTTGAACTATATGGTGCTTCCCAATCTAAAATTGCATACAGAGAGAGGCCTTAAATCCAATGATCAGAAGTCAGAAGGAGAGATGGGGTGACTGAAAGCAATAGAGAACCACTCACTTGGCTGGAGGCAGAGACAACATCTTGTGCATAGTGGAAGTCATTCGATCTCTGCCCAGACTGAAGGCATCTTTAGTCAGCGACACAGCTTCCTTGGTGAGGTCCATGGTGGCATGTAGAGCCTCCTTGGTAGCATCCTTGGTCATGTGAATAGCACTTGACAATTCTCCCTCAATGTTCTTCAAGGGGATGACCTCACCCTGTCCATTCACAGCAGTATCCCTGCCAGCTGGGGGCTTCAGTGCAGCTGGGGAGCTCGAGGCTTGGGCTCTGCTCAGTCTCTTGGCCTGTAGGGACTCAACTGCTTCATGACCCTTCCCTGCCAGCTGCTGAGCAAGTAGACCTGAGTCCTGCAGTTCTCCATTGCTATGAGGCCTCTCCTGGGATGCATCCAGATTCTCAGTGCTACTGTCCTCCAGGACCTTCACTGGGCTTGCTGGGCCCTGGTCTGAAGAGGCATCAGACTTCAGTTCCCGATCCTCTGAAGGAGACAGCTCTGAATCCACAAGGCTAGTGCTATCTGAACCTGCAGAGTCAGCATCAACAGCCCCAGACGTAGAATGCATAAGCAGAGCCACCTCAGCACTGGGAAACAGGACTCCAATGCAAGCTGTCTGGTCCTGCCAGGGAGACCCAGTCATGGCCTCTGTATCCTTGGTCAGCTGCTCCTGAAGCCTCTGCAGCACCTCTTTGAGGCGGAGCAAAGCCAAGTACTGGTAGTGGTCAAGTCTCACACAGACATGGGCAGGGGAGTGTACAAGCATGTGAACATTTGCTACATCCTCTAGTTCTGTCAGAGGTGTTTTGTTGTCCACACCACCACTGTCTTCTCTCAGAACATCCATGACCTCTGTAAGGCCTGATAAGCTTTTCAAATCATGCTCAGTTTTTGACCTCTGATGGGACACAGAGTCAGAGGCAAGAGCTTCACACTGGACAGGACTGCCAAAGCTGGCTGATGGTTTCAGCCTTCCCTCTGAAGCCAAAAGGAGCTTCCGTGCCTGGGCTTGCTGCCAGCGGAGGGGTAGGCAGGCCCAAATGGACAAGGGGAAGGGGGTCACAAAATTCAAGGTATGGCCTTTGAAGTTCTCTGTTCCCTCAAAATCCAAGGAGATCTGGGTGAAGTGGACAGACCAGAGATCCTGGGAAGCCTTAGGCCTCTGTGAAGCAAGGGTACTAGGCTGGGATAAGCAGGAATCCACCTGGAAGGCATGGTGCAAAAAAAGCATGTGCAGAAGGCTGAAGCCACCAGGAACCTTAGGAAAGCGATCATAATTGGAATGAAAGAACTCAGCAGCAGCAAAACCCCGGAAGAGACTCTGAAGATCTGGAGAGCCACAGTGTGGGGCATGACGTGTATTGGTGGCAACCATGCCTGAGGCAGAGAAGACAAGGGCCTGGGGACGATGTAGTTCCGCTTGCTCTCTCTTCTCCAGTGGGAAACTAACCTTCAGAAAGAAAATGAAACACAATTCAGAATAGGCATCTGAGTATCTCAGCACGCCACCATTAATATACACATGAAAGACCATTTGGGTTGTGAAACTGTCTTCTTACTTCTACCAAGTGGACAGAGCAGAAACACGGATTATAGCCACTGGAAAAAATGCAGCTATGGCTACCAACAGAGGACATAAGACCCACTCTTTTCCTACCTTCAACTGGAAGGCATCCAGACGGATGTCCAAGTGTTCATCTTTCTGGTTTGAATCTTCCAGCTTGTAGATAGCTTTGAACTGCTCTAAGCTGCGGTATAAATCCAGACAAAAGAGGTTTCCCCAGAGCAAGCTGACAGGATCCATAGTAAATGTTAGACCATTTAATTGAATGTAGAGATTGGGACAAGGAACTGGAAAGCAGAGGGGAAAAAAGAATCATCACATGCAAAGCAGCAGCTAGACTCTTACCATCTAATATTTATCTTATTATCAAGAGAGCATAGTTGCAGCTACTTGGAAGGCTGAGGCGGAAGGATTACCTAAACCCAGCAGGTGGAGGCTACAGTGGCCATGAGCATGCCACTGCACTCCAGCCTGGGTGACAGAGTGAGACTCCAACTCAGAAAAAAAAAAAAAACAGAGAGAGCAAAGGTATCCATTCATACAGGGCAGAATTTTGAATAAAGGTGCACTAAATTAACTCAAACACCTAAGATTTCTAGCAACAAACGAACATATAAATAGTGGCCCTAAAGCTGACAAATGTGAAAAGCAAAAGCTAGAAAGAAGAAATGGCCAGCCCAGCTGCTTACCTGGAAGCTCCTGATTATCTGGGAAGTAATACTCTGTGAACTCAATATGAATGGCAGAGACTTGAGTGGGCAGATTGTGGAGCTTCCGACTGCAGGAAAGAAGTGTAGATGGCTTCTTGCTTGGCTGTCCAGCTGTAGAAACCTAAGCAATCACAACTTAAACTGTTAGCATCCATAGCACACCCACAGTAGAACTCCATTTCCGCTTGGGAAGTACAAAGCTTCTACCATCCTTCCAAAGTCTGTCACAGGGAACAGAGTGCGTCTCATATATTCCAGGCACCCTCACACCTGCCTAGCACTATCCACAAGTGAGTTTTTTAGTGGGAGGCTTGTAGGAGGGCATTCAAAGGAAAATTGGGTGCATCCCCAAGTCCTGATCCCAGCCGTCATGCTCAGAAAGAAAACAGATCAAATTACCCAGAAGGGAGGTAAACAGTCCTGAATTCCATAACTTTGCTGACACTGTTCAATTGCCTTCCAAGGGAACTGCTCCACTCCTTTTCAACCATGTTTCCCCATGTTCTCACCTGGTGGATGTCCAGGTCATCTACCCGAACTACTATACAGCTAGAGCGCAAGCGATTCCATGCTGGAGGCCGAAAGGCAGCCTGTCGGCCCTGAGAGGGACTTCTCTCAAGAGGGATCTTTCGAGGACTGGAGAGAGAATCTGAATAAAAATTTAAAAGTGGGAAAGAGAATCATATATATTTAACTCTTTTTTTTTTTTGAGTCAGGGTCTCACATTGTTGTCCAAGCTGGAGTGCAGGGTCATGATCATGAATCAGCACAGCCTCCAGCTCCTGGGCTCAGGCAATCCTTAGCCTCCAGCTTCCTAAGTAGCTGGGACTACAGGCATGCACCACACTCCTGGCTAACTTTTTTCTTTTAACTTTTTGTAGCGATGAGGTCTCACTATGTTGCCCAGGCTGGTCTTGAACTCCTGGGCTCAAGTTATCCTCTCCCCTCTACCTCCCACAGTGCTGGGATTACAGGCATTAGCCACCATGCCCAGCCTCAATTCTTATTATTAATGGAATTAGGAAAGTAAAAATCCTAAGATTGTTAACGCTACATTTTAGGAAAGAGAGTTTAACAGTGTCTAGTTCCTGGGTGGAGCCCAAAGCTATTATCCTTAGGATCAAGGCAACAGCCTAATGAATAGAGATGATGACAACTTCTCTTCAAATTTTCAGCTATTCCTGGGGACAAAGAGGTCTCTGTAAAGAAAAAGTTACTCATGTCTCTCCATGTGTACAGTTGGAATAGTTAGCCTGCCCATTGCTTTACCTCCACCAGCTGGCTACTCAAGAGGCTAAGCAAGCCGGGCTCGGTGGCTCAGCCTGTAATCCCATGCTTTGGGAGGCTGAGGTGAATGGACTGGCTGAGCCCGTGGGTTCGAGACCCGCCTGGGCAACTTGGTGAGACTTCATCTCTACAATAAATAAAAAAATTAGCCAGGCATGGTAGCGCGTGCCTGTAATTCCAG